TAAGAAAGTTTAATAATAAGGTTAGTAAGAATGTAGTAATAACAACACTCATATATTTACATACATAGGTTTCTTAGTTCGGGCTGCGCGCCTCAAGTTCGCAAAGAGACGGTCGTGGACATATGTCGGTTTCTCGGGTGCACCAGCTGCTGCGCAATCTTGCGCATGTAAGCAGCCCCCGCATCCACTCAGGGTGGAAAGAGTGGAAATGCTTGGCGCCGTGTCAGGTTTATGTCGATGGCAGCAACTCGCCAGCTTCTCAAGCTAGAGAGTGCGATTTGATTGGCTTTGCCGCTTGCAAGCCTGGCAGCATGCGACCAATGGCGGGTGGGGTGGGCGCGAACAATCCAAGCCCTGGCGGCCGAGGATGATATCAAATTGAAGAAGTTGCGTAGAGGTTGCACACGTTTAAGCTTCTCCTAAGGGTGAGGTTTAGCACCAAAAGCACGCCAATGCATATTGCTCTTTCTTGTTTTTTTGCGATGCATGGTGCATGTGGGGACTATTACATTCTGACCAAAGCGCAAATCGGACACCGGCTTAGGTCTCGCTCGGTGAACTTGAGCTTCATGCGAATCTTGCGAGTGCTTCGCCGTATTCCCAGCAGCAATCTGCAGTGATTGCGCGGCTCGAAGAATATTTGGCCGCTTGAGGTTACCAGGAATTTTCGTCAGCTCTTAGGGACTTTTCGTCAGCTCTTAGGGACTTCAAGCCGGCCATTGTTTGTATGACTTTTTACGTCATGACCAAACGTCATTCAGCGGAGTTCGTTTGATTCCTGACTTCCGCAAGCGGATCAATTTGGCGAGCTATCCGCAGGCTTGGTCCGCATCGTGCGGCTCGCCGCCCGCCATGTTGCGGCATTTTCCTCTGAGTCTTCAGCTGTCTGAAGCTGGTTACCTGGTTGGCGGGGTTTGAGTTGCTTCAAACCTGAAGCCGGTTGTTTTCAATCCAAACTCATTGCCAAAGAGTTGCTTGAGAAGGTGCAAAACTGTAAAGCCCAGAATGGCCAGGTCCGGGTGCTGCGACTCATCCGCGAGCTGAGGCAATGCTTTCTCACATGCATATTGGGTTTAGCGACAGGCTGACAATATTGTCCTGTTGGATCTCTTGGTTTGTGCAGGACTTGGGAGCCCTTTGCCCATGTCCTGTGAAACACAAATACTTTGGTATGGGGGCTCACATGCATTTTTTGTTTTTACGAATGATACGTCTAGTATCGGTGCAGGACGCTGGTGCAGTCAATTGCTTCGACGCGCCCCAACTGCAAGACTGAACTATATTGATATGGTGTTGTGCCTGCAACATCCTGCGACTGTTGTTGTGGGAAGGGTGTCAAGTTTGGGTGCGACCGAAAATTGACCAACTGCCGCTGCAATCTTTGGTTGGTGCTTGTCTTGGCCGAGGATGACATCACTTCTGTGGACCGTTGTTCTGCTACTGCTGCTGCGCTTTGCTCAGCCGCCTCCGGTGGATCCCTCATTGATGGCATGTTGATTGGCAGACATCACTGAAGAAGAAGAGAAGAAGAAGAGGAAGAGGAAGTAAGGGTAGTACAGAGATCCGAACATATCAACATAAAAAGCAAGATTTTGACAAGACCGGACGGCCCCAAGGCCTGATCGTTTCTGCAGCTTCAGGGCACTCGGTAGCTCCAAAGCTCAGGATCTTTGTGGTGGGCATTTGCTTCACACAGGTGGTTGCTGATGTGGGTCTGGAGAGGCCAGGCTCCGAGTTGCTCAAGAAGCCACTGGGTCTGTCAACAGAACCACAAAAGCTTTTTTGGGGTGCTGCTGTCAGGCCGGGCCTCATACAGGTGGGCACGGATACTTATGAGTCAGCGGCTCAGAGCCATTGGGTGCCTTTCCTAAGCAACATAATTTTGACGGTAGGCAACCCAAGTTTCCTTTGCCAGTTTTTGTGACTGCCGGATGCCTACAGACATGCTCGAGGGTTTCTCAAAGAGGCCATGGTCAGTCCGGCAATCCTTCCATATCGCCGCGGCTTCGAGGTTCTACGGCTCCTTGTCGCGGTCTGTGTGGCGCCTAAAGAGCCTGAATTGGGACTTGTACGCTTTACCAAAGGCTCGAGACCTCAAGTTGGCCACGTTGGTTGGATTCTTGTACGGGGAAGACTGCCGTCAGATTCCAGATGCAGTCAATGACAATTTGCAGGCTGGTTCGCCTAGGTGATGTCCTTGTACCAGTCCATCACAAGCGGGGCGCGATGCTTAGGGACCCGTGGCAGGCCAGGAATCCCTTGTGTTGATGACATCCTTCTCAGGGACGCCTTTCCAATGGCGTCTTTTTTTTGTTTGCGGTCGCTTCTTTTCGTGCTTGACGGAATCAGTTGCCGGACAGCGCATTTTCGGGTTGGGCTGGGTTCAGACCCTTGGAATTGTCCCGGGACAGCACATTCGCGTGGCGCGTATGTGCTGTCCACAGTCGGCGAGGAATTTTGTGTCTGGTTGAGTGGGCCTTGCCCAGGTCAGCTGGAGGGATGCCTCGCAGCCACTTGCCATTGCCTCGGATAAGCCATGGCGGGTCGAAGTCGATGAATGGCTTCTGGATGACTTGATTTGGAACTGAAGCATTTGAATGTCCTCGAAGGCATCCATGACGTGGTAAGTCGCAGCAAACACCTTAGGAGGTGCAGCTATTTGGCCTTTTCAAGTGTTGTATGTAACCGTCGCAGGGTTTGAGTCTTTGCCTGCGTGACGCACTTCTGGGGCCTAACTAGTGATGAATCCAAACGGCCTGGGGTTTGCGAGGGCTGCTTGGGCCAGCCTTGCTGCACCGTGGAAGGAGCAACTCTCGCCCGTGATGGGACTGGTTTTCGCCAGGTTCTCAGATGTTTGCAGAGCACTGTCTTATAGTCCTATATAGCCTTTAATGTTGCAGGCTGTCCGGTGACAGATTTTCGTGTCATTTCGTGTGAGCATGATGCCAGAGAGTGTGAGGAGGATGGGCTAGTCAGCTTGCAGGCAGTGTACATTGCCTTCGCAGCTCTCGCGATGTGACGCGCTGAGTTGGGCAATTTTGACACATCCGGGCGCTTCAGGCTGCTTGAGCAAGGCAATCTGTGCCCTTTTCGTACCTTCGTCCAAGGCTGAACGTCATTACGGGAGTTTTTGTCGAGTCTGCCATGGCCAGCGCTCGGGACAGCGACTCATGCTGGGCCTTGTTGCGGGCGGCCAGATCATTGGTTGCCAATTCGACGATCGATAGGCGTGTTGATCATGATAGACACATTTAGCGCAACGCAACGTCAATGGGAAATCATGGAAACCCATTATACGGTCGTTACTGTCATGGCTGGGCCAGGAGAGGTTGATGTAGTGCTCATGTCATGCTGTGGTCCTCTACAGGTGAAGTGAACCAACAACTGTGCCTCCTGCAAGTGTGCTTCTTCATTGCAGAGCTGCGTGCGTGTGCCAGCGTGCCTGCCTGTGTGCCTGCCTGTGTGCCTGTCTGTGTGTGTGTGCCTGCCTGTGTGCCTGCCTGTGTGCCTGCCTGTGTGTGTGTGTGTGTCTGTGTGTGTCTGTGTGTGTCTGTGTGTGTCTGTGTGTGTCTGTGTGTGTCTGTGTGTGTCTGTGTGTGTCTGTGTGTGTCTGTGTGTGTCTGTGTGTCTGTGTGTGTCTGTGTGTCTGTGTGTCTGTGTGTCTGTGTGTCTGTGTGTCTGTGTGTCTGTGTGTCTGTGTGTCTGTGTGTCTGTGTGTCTGTGTGTCTGTGTGTCTGTGTGTCTGTGTGTCTGTGTGTCTGTGTGTCTGTGTGTCTGTGTGTCTGTGTGTCTGTGTGTCTGTGTGTCTGTGTGTCTGTGTGTCTGTGTGTCTGTGTGTCTGTGTGTCTGTGTGTCTGTGTGTCTGTGTGTCTGTGTGTCTGTGTGTCTGTGTCTGTGTCTGTGTGTCTGTGTGTCTGTGTGTCTGTGTGTCTGTGTGTCTGTGTGTCTGTGTGTGTGTGTGTTTGTGTGTTTGTGTGTTTGTGTGTTTGTGTGTTTGTGTGTTTGTTTGTTTGTGTCTGTGTGGGTGTGCGTGTGTGGGTGTGTTTGGGGGGGGGGGGTGGTGGGCACACTTGTGTGCTTGTTTGTTCTGTGCTTGTATGCATGTAGTGCTTGTGTGCTTCGTAACCAGCTGTGCAGGAAGAAAACATGGTGACGGTGGCAACGGGCCAAGCTGTGTGCCACCCTGCTGACCCCACGTGGCCCATGGCTTGCTAGGCGTACTCACTCATTGCTTCTTGTCCCGTTGCGAGCGCGACTCTATCAGGCTTGGAGCTGCTTTTGCTGCAACCAGGTCAGCCGCATGCGGGAAATCGTCAGCAAGATGAACATTGGCGAGCCAGGGTCACAGAGACATGGAGTCGATGAGCACTTCAGAGCTCTTGAGTGGCAGCATCACATGTGTGAGGTCTGGGCAAATGACCTGGGAGCAATTCGAAGGACAGCTTGACAATCCTGTGATGGAGGCAAGCGCAACCATGGGTTCCCCTGCTGGGATGAAACATGTTGTAGTTATGATATGTCCTCTTTTCCCATCGGGTTACCGCAAGTTTGAGGGCAGCTTTCGCCAGGCCTACTTCAGATCACTTGACCTGAGCATCTCAGAAGCTCGCAGTGGCTTCCTCGGCCGCGAATTGCATCAGGCTGTGCCATTGTATGTCTGATTTGTCAAGATCTGATTTGCAAGTTGGTTCAGTCGGACCAGAGAGTTGCATGTACCTGAGCCACGGGCTTGGACTATAGAAGGTTACGCAAAAAGGAGGCTGCACAGCGCAGCAGCCAGAATCACATGGAGGCCAATGAAAGCCCGGACCAAGCCAGACGAGTGCTTGGTGAACTGGATAGATGGCCAAAACACCCACCAGGAGCAACCTCAGCCTTGAACATTCCCAAGTTGAATATGGTGCACTTGAGATGTTAAACAACAACATCCGGAAGAGCTCAGTCATGGGCCCAGCAGCTTTTGACTTTCACCAGACTTGGGCGCCACACGCACTTATGCCATGGAGACCTCAGCCTTGGTGATCTGGCTCCATGGGTTGCCGCCCAGATGAGGGGTTCGGGGGGAGGAGGCATGGGGGGAGGCGGTGAGACACAAAACGGGGCTGCTGGACTGGCCACAGCAAATGAGCCTGCCTTTTTTTGGGAGCTTGGAAGAGTAGTCTGCTATGGCTTTCAAGTTGCTCATTGAGACATTCACTTCATTCGTAGCTTCGGGAGCAGGGCTGTTCTTTCCATACATCACGAGCCTGCTACTCATTGAATGGAGACTCCAATGTGATTGTAAAGAACCGACTTGATCCTTTCGTGGGCTCAGACTTGTGACGTCATTGCTGGTAGTGTTTGAACTGTCAAAGGAATTCATCATTCATTTGCATTAAGGCAATCTTGTGGCAATCACATCCAGCAGCTGCTGGTTGCGACCAGGCCGGACCTTTGACTGACAAGCTCATCAGAAGTCCGAAGGCTGTATGCAAAAGGCAACAAGTCTACCACAAAGTCTGGCAGTGCCCCTCTCACACACACTGCAAACCAAGGGCACTTGTTGAGTTGTATGCAGGATCCGACACAACATTCCTTGGGTGAAATGGCTCCTTCCAGAATCGGCATCTTGGCTAAATGAGCAGTTGATGCTGGTTTGACACTTCTCCGGCAGATAAACATGTACGCTTTATGCAAGGACATTGCAGAGCTGACTGTGATGCCCGGGAAGGCGGTCAAATGAGACTTGGTCGAACAAGACGTCGTGGCGATCCAGGGCCTCTCGCTCACACAATGTTGCCAAAGGCTTCGAGCGGGAGGGGATTCATTCGCCACTGCTAAAGTACCAAGATGAGCTGAGTTGGCAAAGTGCGGCAAGCATCTAGCATGACACCCCTTGAGGGCCAACATGCTTTGTTCAGTGAGAATGATGTGCCCTAACTTCACCAGTTACTTCTTGAATATGTCTGAACTACGATACCAAGCCACCGTCAGAAAGAATTCCACATCGACCAAGTCGACCGGCAAGCACATTTGCAACGCCAGACAACTTGGCCTGTTTCTGGAGCTTGTACCTTGGACGCTGCCATTGTTCTGGCAGCATCTGAGCCCACTTTGATGGAGCTTTCGTCTTCCGCGTTGTTTCTGCGTGCTTGATCGCGCTACGTCCTTTTACATTGGCATTGCCACTGGGTGAGAGACACAAGGGCTCTTGCTGAGGCTGTCGCATTCTTCTAGGTGTAGCTGGCAGGTGGCCAGAAGAGTTTGTGAAGGCTCCCTCTCTTCAGAGCCTATTGCGGGGGCACGGGGGCATGGCTGACAAAGTGTTCCACTCGAGTGATGCCGGAGGTCATTCCGAAATTCGTGTCTAAGGCTGGTTTGACTTGCACCAGCAGCCAGTTGTTGAGGGCCAGTATCATGGTCGAATGCAGGAATCCGTGGCGTGTGGCTTGACTGCGTGGATTTGTTTGGTCCATGTCCATTGCAATGGGCTCTGAGTTTCAGCGCCTCTGGCTCATTCCGCCCTAGGCCCTCTCTTGTTTTTCTCCCCGAGACGTGTGGAAGCAGAACTGAGAGTCGCAACCTCATCCAGCCCAAAAAAATAACCCTAAACCCTAAAGCAAAGCCGAATCCCAATGTACACTCTGCTGGAAACCTGCCCCAAGCTTACCACAAACTCGTACTATGTAAATGAGGATTGGACCGCTGCTCGCTGCCCGCCTCGGCCAGGCTCAAAAGCACCGCAAGAACAATGCGGGCTTGAGCAACTGATGTTGGCTGGGCTGAGCAGTCTGGGGCAGGAACTTGTTCTTGAGCGGCGGGGCCGGCCAACGAGGTTTCTGGAATGAAGTGGACTGGGCACAGCGGGCTCAGGAGCTAGGGAGTGGGTCGGCTGCAGGGCAGCCGGTGCTGAGCGTGGTGTGGCTGAGCAAGATCGTGGGGAGGGGGCGGGCTGGCGACAATGCGTGTATAGCATGCTGGGGCTGGGCTGCTGTGATCTTCACCTTCTTCCCGCCCTTGGGCCAGAGGCTTTCACTCGGCGTACGGGAATTTGGATGCGCCTCAACAGGAAGAAGCAGAAGAGGAAGAAGAAGAAGGCAACAGTCGCTGGCCGAGCCATTTTGGCTCGTCTTGAAGCTCCCGTTTTCGTCTACAAGTCTCACAGTTTGTCTCTGGTATGACTTCCCCCATCGGGCTTCATGCAGAATTGTAGATACGTTTACGACACACCACGACGGTACTTGGAATCAGCTTGGCCTGGCTGGGATTGGCAGGCTGTGTCTGTGAAGCGTGAACATTGATGGCTGCGCGGTTCAAGGCAGCCATCGATCGAGGACTTCTTTGTCTCGATTTGGGCTGCCTAGCCATTTTGGTATTTCCTGTGCGCGCCCATTCGCACGCAGAGGTGTTGTATGCGACATTGCCATGGAAGCCGTCAGTCGCCTTACTCGGCAAGGCCCTCGGCAAGCGTTGCGCCAATTCTTGCGCGGGCACCGGAGCCTAGCTTTTCCGAAGCCTTTCTGGCAAGTGTCCACCCAGGTCTTGTGCACATTTTGCGCCGCAGGGGCATTGCTTGCGAATCAGACTTGGCTAACTTGAGGCCGTGTGAGCTGGTTGAATTTTTCGGTGGTATATTGTTGGAAGAAGATGCGGTGGAGCTTATCCGGGTTGCTGACTCAGTCTTTCGGAGGCATCTAGGTAAGCCACTTCACCAGTTGAGCTGTCAACCTGTCCCTCACACGGCGCCGCAACTGAAGCCAGTAGCAAGTTCTGGTAGTTTGTCTCAAGTGCTGTGGCGGCGACCGGGTGACGCTGGTCCAATACTCGCCACGGAACCGTTTGAGATTATGTGGAAAGTCTGCTCTGAGTATTAACCAGGTCATGTTTCAGCTTGGCGCCGTTGGCGTCGCTTTGTGGCATCGCATGAAGCAGCAGACAAATCTCCGTTGTTTCCGTCAATTGAGGCTGTTTTCGCTTTCTTGCAAACCCAGGCTTCTAGAGGCCCAACTGTGTCTCATCACTTGTTCCAGCAACTGTTGTGGTGGCGTACACACGCGGGTGTGCCGTTCCCACTGCACGCAAGTGGGGAACCGGCCAGCGGAGGGCCATCAGGCAGCTCCGAAAGAACCGTTGGCGCTGTGTGCAGTAAAAGTGCTAGCCAATTTGGCGGCCTGCGGACCAACTGAAGCAGCTTTTGCTGGATTTGCCCTTATGCCTTTGGCAGCAGGTTTGCGATTCGCCCACCTCCAACGATCTTGCCCGTTGCGGGTTGATGGCCCATTCTTGCTTGGCCTTTGTAAAAAAGGGAAGTCCCGAAGACAGCACGCACGGCCTCCGTTCGAATGTGGATGCCCTGCTGGTTTCTTTGGGTTTGAGTCAGTTTTCCTGCACGCTTTGCGCGTTGTGAATGATGTTGCCGCCCGTTGCGATAAGACCACCTTTGTAGTGCCGGATTTGCTTCTTGGCCCTTCTATGCAAATCCAGTCTGATGCTACTTGGGTGCCCAGAGCTATGCCCTTGTCAAGGTTTGTGAGTCTTTTTTAAGGAAGCTGTTGGTTCATCGGCTGCCAGGGCTTAGTAGTGCAAGCGCGGTGTCCTCTTACTCCTTGTGCCGCTTGTTGCCCACCGTTGCCGAAATTGTGCGCTGTCCTCCGGAAGTAGCGCAGCATCTTGGCAACTGGGTAGAGACGGTGCAGCTCGAACATGTGCCGTCACGTTCTTTCTGCGTGTCGCAGCATTCTGCCAACGAGAAAGTTCGCAGCGCTGCTGATTCCAAGGCCAAGCTGTTAGGGGCTGTTTGGGCTGTTCTGAAGAACTCTAAGGACATTTCAGTCCCCTTTGACAATTTAAGGGCAGCTCACCTCACGCGGGCTAGAGTTGTTTCCGGCGAGCTCTCTGTTCCGGATGCGGCCAAAGCATCTGCTTCCGAGTCAGTGTCTTCTTCTTCTTCTTCCAGTTCAGAGTCAGATGTTGTCACAGAGAGTGTTTCTTGGTTCCAGAGGAGTGGTGCGCGTGCAGAGGCCTTCAGCCGTCTTGCTTACGCCCTTGTGTCGAACGGAGCCTTTCGCATCTCAGCTGTGCTGTCGTGGAGCAGGTCTTGGCCCAAGCATGAACGTGTGTGCCAAGTGCATTCAAGCGGCGCCTAGAGCACTTTTCCGTGCAATCAAAGCTTCTTTGCGCGCCCAGGACACTCCTTCGAGTGCTTAGAGTTGAATTCGGTCACATGCCCTGTGAATGCGACAAGCCTACGCTGCGCGCCAGCAGCGCCACTTGACATTACTCACTTGTAAAAGACTTGTGCTAAAATGAGTCTGTTACAGGGTTGCGTTGAGTTTCTGAACTACCGGGAATTTCCGGGGTTTGGTTCTTTTTCGGCCCCGTTGGATTCCCTCGTTTGGTGCTTGTCTACCACAGGCTTTGCGCGGCCGTCAACTTTCATAATTGCTGACATGGAGTTGCTCCCGGGGCTAGTGTCTTTATTGGCTGGCCCTGTTGGATTCCTTGCCTTTTCCTAAATGTATATATGTGTATATATGTATATATGTATATATATATATATATATTTAAACCAGGAGAAACAACACAAATAGTTGCAGCAACCATCTTCTCAATTACTTGGAGATTTCCGGGGTTGTGGGTTCTTGCCCTGCCCTGTTGGATTTCCCTGCTCTCTTGTATGTTGCAAGCAGGGGCGCATTCCTCTCGCTTGCTGTGGAATTTCGGGGGTTGTTGGTTTTCCCCTGGCCCATTATACTCCTCAAATTTCGAATTCTTGGCTTTCAATTGCGGTTGCAAGGGTACTTGTTGCGAGCTTGGAATTTCCGGGGCTGCGGCTTTTTCCCTGCCCTGTTGGATTCCCTCGTTTTCGCCGTTTGGGCACCGAGGAAAACAACAAAAGAAAGCAAGAGCAGCCGTTCCAACACCGCTTTGCTTTTGCCAGGGATGATCATTAACGGGCCTTGCAAAGATCTCGTTTGCCAACCGGAAGAGCGGGCTTGGATTTTGAGCTGTGTGGTCGGTGCAAGACATGGAGTCCCTCAAGCAGATTTTTGCAACTGCCCGTCTCAGTGATGAGCTGACCAAGTTTCTGTTAAACATGGGCTTGACGTCAGTTTCTGATCTGCTGCCACCTATGAGACAGAGCTGAAGGACGTAGTGCTGGAGCCATCGCCAGCTAAAGGCGATGTCTTGCAACTTTCTCGCTTGAGAGCTGCTTGGCGGGAAGGGAGTCTGTTGCTTGAGCGACAACGCAAAAGGAAAGTAGATGGCGTTGTTGAGAACGGTGACGAGCCCTTGGACCCTGCTACCCAGGAGACCCTCATGACGCAGTGGCGCGCGTTATATGGCCTTAAGCTGTCCATTCACATGCTCCCATCTGATGCCTACCGAGAAATCCAGCGTGGTGTTCCTACCATCATTCCGGCCAAGAAGATCCAGAGTCTGTTCCGTGGCACCCTTCCGCTTAATCGTGAAGAAGTTAGCCTCAGCACATCCATCAAAGTGCAGTTGTCTGCAGAACATGGGCAGTGCGATCTGTCATTCAGTACTACCAAGCCCTCAGGGTCTTAGCCAATGCCTATTCGTTGGCAGGTATCCACATGGTGGCCAGCGTAGAGAAACCGCGTCCGCATCGCAGAGCCAACCTTGAGCGCCAATGATCAAGTGCGCTGGCTGGAAAGCCGTGACTTGCAGACAAGGGGAAAGATGGTTGAGCTCATGCGCCAGAATTGGCCACAAGGTTTGGCCCTGTCGCAGGCCCTCCGGGAATGCGAGGTGGTGTGGACAATTCAGCAAGCCGCCGCCGTGAACGTGCCGCCGGAGCTCCTGCAACCTGAGCCTGAAACAAGTCACACAGGCCCGAAGCGCGCGCGCAAGGAGCGCACCTTGAGCATTTTGCAGGGCGGGCAGCAGGTGTGCAAACGGCGCAATGACCAGCGTGGTTGCACCCCACGTGAGAAAGATTGCCCTGACACAAGCGCCACGTGTGCGACGGCCGCAAGCCGGATGGCCAACCGTGTGGCTGTTCAGTGCCCGTTTGTGCGTGCGTGATGGTGCCAGGGGGGGGAGGGAAGTTTTGCTGACTCCCCGCCCCAAGATGCTACTGCCCAGCGCAGCGTGCGTGTGAATTCAGCATCGCAAGCAAATGCCAGTTTGTTTCAGGCTTCGCTACCTCGCCTCATTCAGTGGTCTTGTGTTTGGCAGGGCCGTGAGAGTTTGCCGTCTTTCCCACTCCGTGTTTCCTGGGGCGGCCCAGTTTGCTAGTTTCACTCTTTGATGGTGTTGGGTGTGTGCCACTAACGCTTGCTGCTTTGGGCGCGCAGTTTTGCTTGATCAGCGTGCAGTGTAGCAAGCTAAGCGCAGATAGTGGCAGCGGGCTATTCCAGCCAGATTTGAATTTGCCGGTTGCTGAGCAGTTCGGCCCCGCCGCCTTGCCTGCCGCGTGG